TATCATGAGGCTGAAACAAATCCACACATGTAAAGTAGCTAGAATAGTAACTGGTGGTGAGTAAATGCTCATTCAAGTTTAGCACTGGTTACTACCTGCTGTAGTTCATGAAACCTGCCTGTTGTCTTTTTGGAAAAATCTAAACCGCTCCAGCCCGCTCCAGTCTCCCAGTGCTTCTCCAGCTGAACATGATCCTCACACACGTTTCTAGTCTCCTTTCACTGGGCCTCTGCTTCTTCCAGGACCCTTGGTCACGCTGAGGTGCCTGTTTGTTTTCTCTAGTGCCCTCCGGTTTCACTGGTTTCTCTGGGTATTTCACTTTCCCCTCCTCCATTATGTTCATTCATAGGCTTTCGGACAGGTTGCCCCATTTCCAGGTAAACCTGTCCTCCCAATTCTTAGTGTCAATCATAGTACTTCTATTGATAACATTTGTCTGATACTATATGCTAGGCTCTGTGCTGGACACTTTACGTTCATTATTTTATCCTTACAATCCTAGGAAAGGAGGTACTTTTATTCCCATTTGGATGGAGCACAGGGAAACTGGGGCCCAAACACAGTAAGCGACATTAACAGGTGGCATTATTATAGTCACTATAAAAATGATCCATTAGCAGACCTGCTCAGCGAGATGGATGTGACCAGGTCCCAGCTCTCTAAGAGGTGCACTTTGCTCCTGGTGCGGGGAACATGAGCCTTGCCATCCTCGGTGGGTCGAGTCCCCTGTCCCAGCGCTCACTACTCTGCACTGAGTTTCCAGCTGCGTTCCCAGAGCCCTGGAGACGGAGTGTGGGGGCTGCCCAAGTGAGAAGATGACCATGTGGAATCCTGGGACCACCCTTGCCGAACCAGAGCGGCCCCGTCGTCTGTTGTCACCTCATGGGCTTCTGAACAAGGCTGGATTTGAAGAAAAGGTTGCACTGCTAAAGAAAGCTGAGAAAACAACTGCTGAATAGTAATGGTCTTTTTAAAAACATAATTGAGATACAACATTAGTTTCAGGTGTACAAGATGATCTGCTATATGTATATATTGCAAAACGATCACCACAGTAAGTCTAGTTAACATATATCCTCACATATAGTCATGTTTTTTTTTTTGTTTTTGTTTTAACATGTCTGCTTTTTCCGTCAGCATGCAGGCTCCTGGAGAGCCGGGATGGCATCCTGGGCCAGCACTGGGCTAGGAGGGTCTCAGCAAAGGTGGGCCAGACAGAATGCACCAGGAGCTCTCTGTGCAAAATAAGGTTTGCCCCCTTTTCCTGCAGGGTGACGGTCTTAGGGGAAATTGAGTAAGAACCTTGCAGACAGAATGATGCAAGGAGAACTTTCAGTACACATTGCAACAGAGCATTCTAAAATGGGGCTGGGGTTGTGCTGATGGCTTGTTCCCAAGGGTCTCAGCCCTGCTCCTCTCCAGCTGGCCAGACCTGTCACATAAGATACGGCCAAAGGCTACTACTACCCATTCCCCCCAATGCCTGGCCTTAGAGCTGGGAGGTTTGAAACCGGAAGTCATCTTCAATCACCCCTGTGGGCCTTGAGCCCTATGTCCATGTCACCAAAACCTGGAAATTCTAAGACCTCAGCTTTTCTTCAACCTTCTTTTTTTACCTTTGGTTCTGCTATCACTTTAGTGCGGGCTGTGTTATCTTCATCTCTCCGTTCTCTCCCTCCCTTCCCTTCTTCCATCCAGTATTACCCAGATCCCTCCCGTGGGCCAGGCCCAGCACTGGGCACTGGGACCCAGAGAGCCCTCTGATTCCACCTTTGGCCTCAAGTAGCCTCCTCTGGGCAGGACAGCTTTGTAAACATTAAGAGTAGAGGTGCTCTGAAAGAGAGAAGCCGGAGATCTGACGGGCACACAGAGCTGAGAGAGGGTCCTCCTAGGGGCCATGTGCTGTGTACCTTCCATTTACCCTCCTAGGCCCACTCTCTACCTTTCTCTATCCTGCTCACTTCCTCAATTCTCTGTATGAACTACGTTATTGGGCTTCCTTACCCTCCGGCCAATGGGAAGCCCGGCAGAAGACTGGAGGGAGGGACAGAGTGTGACTCTGCCAGGTCACCATGGTTGGTCTGTTCCCCTCTGCTTGGCTTCCTCCCTTTGGACCTTCAGGCCGCACACCCCCTGCCCCCCCAGTGTTACTAGCCTTGGAGTACTGCACCATCCCTTGAGTTTTCTCTATATCCTGCCTATATTTTTGCAAAGTTTTTGTATTAAAATTGCCTCAAGTTACCCAATTCCAGAGATGTTGTCTCCCGCAGGGACCCTGGCTGATACAGGCCATAGGTAATCAAGAAGGATGCTATGTAGGTGACAGCTGAACGTGTTCTTGTTTGGACAATGATCTTTCTAGAGCACAAAACTGATCATATGTCACCCCTGCTAATACCCTTTATAGCTCCCCATTGCTCTGAGGATAAAGTCCAGACCCCTTAGCCTGGTACCTAAGACTGTACACCATCTGGCTCTTGATGACCCAGCAGCATGTGGTAAAGTCACTCAGAAGGAGGACACTTGGGGGCTTGGAGGGAAGGGAAGCAGTCCCAGTAAGGGTGCCAAGCAAATTCCTGGATGAGGAAGGAGGAGGTGGGTGAGCTTCTGGACCACAAGGCCATGCCAGGCTCTCCTGACCCACCCTTTGAGTGAGCTGAGTGAGCATTGGGAATGAGTTTGACCCAGACAAGCCGTAGGCTTGGGCATGAGAACTGGTTCAAATCCCAGCCTCACCACTGACACCTGGCAAGCTCTTTGACTCTCTGAACCTCAGTTTTCCCAACTACAAAATGGGAATAATCTCTCAGGGCTATGGGGGAAGTTTAAAGGAGGGAATGAATGGGAATTTGCTCTTGTCAAGTAGTTCCAGTATTGGGGCCTGTTCCTCTCCCCAACCTTGTGAGTCAGGGAAAGCACATGGGCTGAAAGTTCAGGAAGGCTTGAATGTCAATCCCAGCTTTACTACTTCCTCACTTTGTAATCCGTGACAAATCACTTTGCCTCTCTGTACCTCCCTTGCAAAGTGCGGTGATAATCACCCCTGGCAGGGCAGCTGTGAGGATTGGGTACATGCACACAGAATAGAGCCTGGCATAGAGCAGGGTACTTGGTAAATGTTTTATGTTTGCTTTTTGCCCCGGGCCTCTCTTAAGACAAGTGAGCTCTCTGCCTTGTGGGCTGGCCACGTGCAGAAGGGCCAAGGCTGCTGTCATGGCAAGGAGTCTCAGGTGTGCAAGTGTCCAACCCCCACAAACTACAAAGCAGCACCTGTAATTCCCAATAGCAACACAACACTGGCGACTGGGGGCGGGGGCAGTGGGACATGCCATCTTTGGTGAAGCCCACCCCGGTCAACTCCTGCTTGGCAGCTTGACTTGGCCTCTCTATCCCTGGTTTGGTCAAAGCACCCAGGGGCTGGATAGGGAGAAGATAAAGAATATGTGGCTCAGGTCCCAGAGCCAGCCTGCTCACATACCTGCAGGAGGAACAGGGCAGACCATTAAAGACGGGAATGTAGGGATGTTGGGAGGTGAGGGGAGGGGGCCAGGAGAAGTCAGTGCCTAGTGTGAGTCCCCCCTGCTCTCTCCTCATGCAGGAGACCACAGTCCCAGGACAAAGAAAGCTGCCATGTATGTGTGAAGGGTCAAACTGAAGCCACATGTTATTGCCCTAGTCCCCAAGCCCCACCTCCCTCCCAGCAACCCACCTGCTCTTTCTAACCCTCCAATCTAATCAAGGTGCCCTGCTCTTCACACCCCTCCTTTGGTCCATCCCCCAGAGGATGAAGTCCAAGTTTCTCCGCAGGATTACAAGGCCCTTCAGATCTGGTCCCTGTCCATCTGTGCAGCCTTGTTCTCTATACTCCTCCCCTGCCTGCATCCCTCTTCCAGCCACTCCAGGGTGCTCTGGGGTCTCACCTCCAGGCCTTCACCCATGCTGTGGCCTCTGCCTGAATGCCCTTCTCCTTCCTCTCAGCCTGGCGGAAACGTACTGATCATCCCCGGGCCAGTGGCAAATGCCATCCCCTCTTAACCTTCCCAGTTTAAGACATCATGTCTGTCCTTCTGCCTTGCGCCCACAGACTCCATCTGCAAAACCACTCATCAATGGGCAAGGAATATAATTTTGAAAAATGTGCCTGGCACTATGCTAGGCTTTTTTTGTTTTTTGTATCTTAGCTCATTTAGTTTTCAAAGCATTTCACAAAAATGATGATGATGATTATTATTCCCATTTTACAGATACGGAAACTGAGGTTCAAGGAAGGCAGGGCCAGAATCAGACTCCAGCTCTGAGTGCAAAGCTGCTGTGCATAAACCCCTCCGGGAAGTGCGTCCAGCCCCAGCGGAGGCAGGGGCCTCTCTCCTCTGATTCCTGTCCCGGCACTGCCAACAGCATCTGTGTGTGGCTGTCTCCTGCGTCCTGGACCCTCACCCCTCAACCACGTGAGCACCCCACGGGCAGGGACGGGGCTGGCTGAGCTGGGTCCGCAGCACTCCGCAGTGGAGAGATGCTCTGTGGGCTTTCTTGATAACCAGACGGAAAGGTAGAGGCAGCTTGGGAGCCCAGGCCTACCCTAACGAATCCCGGCACCAGCGACCCGAGGCCGGACCTTAGCATCTTAGCCAAGCGCAGGCCCCGCTGCGGGCAGACACACCCGCTCAGGCGCTCGGCCGGCTGCACGTGCTCGGCGTCCGGGCCCAGGAGCCACGGGTCCCCGGCGGGCAGCGGCCGAGGGCGCGGGGGAGCAGCGGCCCGGCCCCGGCGCGCGTCCGCCGGGGAGCCCCGGAGCCCGCGCCCGCCCGCCCCGCCCGCGCCGCCCGGCGCTCGGGCTCCCGTGGGGGACGAGGGGCGGGCGGGGTGGAACGGCCGGCCCCGCCCCCGCCCGCGTCGGGCCGCCGGGTTGTGAGGTGATAAAGCGCCGCGCTCCGAGCGCCGAGCGCAGTGGCCGCCGCCGACGGCCCGCTTTCGGCTGCTGCTCGCGCCGCGACGGGCGGTGCGCCTCCAGCTCCCCGCGCCGTAGCCGCCCCAGCGTCAGCGCCGTCCCCCCAACGCCGGCCCCCGAGCTCGGCGCGAAGCCCTGGCCCCGGCGGCCGGGGCATGGGCCAGGGGTGCGGGGCGAGCCGGCTTCCCGCGGGGCCGTGAGCTGCAGCGGCTTCAGCATGAAGACCCTCATAGCCGCCTACTCCGGGGTCCTGCGAGGTGAGCGGGGGCCCGGGCTGCCCCGCTGGGGGTGGGGGGCGGCGGTGGGCCGGGGGGCGGGGGTGGGGGGTTCTGCAGGGCCTCCGCGGCTTTCATCCCGGGCTGGGAAGCCGCTGGAGGGTTTTCGCGAAAGGACGTGACAGGGCCCTAAGGCAGGCAGGAGTGTGTTCTTACAACGAGGGTACGAGGGTACGTTGCTGGAGAACGGGCCAGCGTGCAGGTTGAGGTCCCAAGCCCTTTCTTTTCTTTTCCGAAAGCGTGCCCCACGCCGCGCATCTAGGTCTGGGAAGAGGGAAGGATCCTGGGGACCTCGGCAGATGCAGGCAGCGTCGTAGTCAAGGCTGAGTTCGTGCTCCACCCTGGCACTTGATCCGTTTTTGTCACCTCTGTTACATCGCTTTCCTTCCCCCAGCTTGTTTTCCCCATCTGTGAGATGAGGTTGATATTTAACAAGCCCTCCCCAACCCAGAGCAAGGGGGGGGGGTGGTGGCCCCTGGCAGTTCCCTCCCCTCTCTTCTCACCAGGTGGAGCCAAGCCCTGACAGACTGGATGGGGCAGAGTGGCAGGGTTTTGCAATCCCCTGAAACAGCCACCAGCCAGGAACATGCCTGGCTGGGACAGGTGTGCCCACACAGTACTCTGCCCTCCTCCCATCCTCGAGCCCAGGCTCGGGGGGCCCACTCGGCAGCAGCTCAGCGCTACACCCTTAGAAGGTGGGGCGGAAGACCCCGGGTGCCGTCCATGTGGCCCAGGCCCCTCTTCCACCACTGTGGAACTGAGGCCCTTGGTGAATATACAGATATTCACTTATAGTTGGGGAAATTGATGGGAAGAGCCATGACCTTCTTGAGGTTTCCTTGACAGATGCCTTGGCCAAGGGAGACCCTGGGAAGTCAATCACAGCTGTCCTAGGTCTGTGTGTGTCTTGAAGTTTCCCTCCCTCCTCCTAAGTCTTTATTCTGCTTGCTGAACCTCTCTTATCATTTTTTCTTCAGTAACTGACAGTCACCTACTCTACCCACCTTCATTATAAAAATAAAACATACTGATTATTGGAATTTTGAAAAATAGAGAAAAACAGGAAGGGAATAACAATTGCTGGGTCCTCAACTATCCAAAAATAGCTTCCTAGTGCTGTGTTAGTATATGTCTTTCAATTTTATTTATTCACATTATATAAAGTTGAGGGCATGCTACAGCTATAGTTCTGAATCCTGGTTTCTCTGAGGATTTCCTCTCTTGCTCAGAATCACTTATAATATTCTAGTGGCTGCCAAGTAACCACCGTGGAGCTGTATCACAGTTTAACTGGGTCCTGGGCATTGGCATTGCCCTTGGAGTGCTGCTCATTGCCCTTGGAGAGATATCGAGCTGCTGTTGCCATTTTGGAGGCAAGCAGCCTGAGCTGCCCCATGTATCTGGCCCAATAGCCTACAACAGCCTCCTCTCTCACTTAAGAGTGCTTTTCTGTTCATTGTACCCTTTGATGCCCATAACAAGGGAAGGAAGGGACTCACCCACGTTCATGCTTTTAAATATGCTTTTGTCTTCAGGGAACAGGATAGGGATGCTCTCTGTGGTAGTCCTTCCCGGAGACCCCCTTCCCTCGCCTCTGATGCCCACAGGCTGTGAGCTCTATCTTTCAGGAGCCGTTGAGTCTCATGTTTTTGACCTCTAGTTTGTATTTCAGGACTTTTAGTGAATGATTTTGACCAAGTCACTTAATATCCTATCAGGAGCATTTCCCGATGTTGTTTTCAGATCTTAAGAACTTTTTGTTTCCTTTTTTTTTTTTTAAGATTTTATTTATTTATTTGACAGAGAGAGACCCAGCGAGAGAGGGAACACAAGCAGGGGGAGCGGGAGAGGCAGAAGCAGGCTCCCCGCGGAGCAGGGAGCCCGATGCGGGGCTCGATCCTAGGACCCTGGGATCGTGACCTGAGCTGAAGGCAGACACTTAACGACTGAGCCACCCAGGCGCCCCTCTTTTTTTTTTTTTTTTTTAACTGGCTGCAAGGAATTCCATCATGGGCTGGTATGAATTGCAAACCAGTCACGTGTCAGCTCTCTGGATCTACTTTGACGAAAGACTGGGTGGGGTAGGGGAGGGTGCTGAAGCAGATTTTATGTTATCTAGACATCTCCATTAGACCGGCTTCTTACATCCTTGGTCTTTGAAGACACTCCTCAGTGGCCTGGTTTGTCTCTGTGGATAAGTGTCCACTGTTGCGAGGTGGTGAACACCTTGTCAGTGGCAATATTCAAAGGAGAGACCATGGATTCTGTGAAAGGAAGTCCTGTGTTGGGTGAGAGATTGAAATAGATACCTTGGTGACTGGTTTCTTGGCCAAAAGAAAAAGCCAGCTGTGGGAGCATGGGTAGGTGGGTGTCTGTTGGGGGAGGTGGGAGTCTGTGTTGGTAACTTCTGATCTCTGAAGGACTATCCTATGCCTGGGGTGGAGGCTGCAGAGTTAGTCACGTTTGCATCTCTGCCTTTGCCCCTGGACCAGAGGCTCTTCAGGTCAGAGCCCTCTGACGCCTGCCTAGATCCTCCGGGTTTAGCACAAGACCCAGAACAAAATGATGGCAACTCTAGTAAAATTCTGAGGTGATTCATTTGTTCTCTGTGTCTCCAAAAAACAAGCGGTGGGATTACAGAGGGCAGGTTTTGGTGTAATGGAGAAATCCTGGTGTGGGTAGGGATGGAGCTCCCCATTACTGGAGGTATACAAGCAGGAGCTTGGTAGGGAGTGAAACTTAAGAGGCTAGATTGTTGGGAAACTCTGGAACTGTGGGGTGATAGTCACCTAACCCCGTCCTAAATCATAGGATAGAAATGTCACTCTCCTGTTCCCTGTCTCCCTTCCCCTGCACCCTTTCCCTACCTGCACAGAGGCCACTTTGGGGCTATCTCTGCTACCAACGGTTCTTCTGTGCTGCAAAAGGAGGGCCAAGAGTAATATTTGATTGGCAGGCTGGGTGACTCAGTAGCCAATGTGGAAATCCTGCCTCACCCCAGCCTCCCACCTCAAATTCAGCAGCAAGTACTTGAGTCATAAAATCATAGCTATCTGTTAGTGCTGGGTCAGGCCCAGACGCCATGTTACCTAGGGGGCACTGAGGGCCCCAGAGAGAAGGGACTGGTTCAGAGTTATCAAAGCCAGGGTCAGAACCCAGATCCATCTCCTAGTCTGTGGCTTGCCTCCTTAACCAAGAAGAGGGGGTGAAGGGCTGAGCACAGGGCTCTGGCTATTGTAGACACTCAGTGATTTACTCTGAATGAGTAAAGGTTGCTCCCAGTCTCCAGGATGGGATGGTAGATCACTCCTTCCCAAGCTTTTCTGCAGAAGCTCTCCCAGCTGCCCTGATGGGTAGAGACACCACCCCAGAGCTCTGATGCCAGGTGATGAACTACCAGTTTCCCCTCATCATGGGTCAGACCTTCCAAACTCTTCCAGGAGGCCATGAAGCCCCCCATGAGCAGCCCCCACCACCTCACAACCTCATCTCCTACCATGCTGTGCTCCAGAACTGCCACTGGTCTTCCTGTTCCTCCAGCGAATATTCCCACCAGTTCTGTCCTACCCTGGGCCCTTTGCACGTGCTGTCCCTCTGTCCAGATCTTCACATGGCTGCTTTGGATCCTTCAGTCTCCTTTCAGAGACCTTTTCTGACCATGCCATGTGTAGAACTGCCCCCTAATTGCCACATCTTGTTTTATTGTTTATAGCCCTTCTCATTACCTAAATTATCATGTGTCCTTACCTGTTCAGTAATTGTCTTTCCCATAAGATTGTCAGCCCCTTGGGAGCAGGGACCTTGTCGTTCTCAGCGCTATGTCCCTGGTATCTCATATAATGTATGACATGTAGTAGGTGCTCAGTAAATATTTGTTGAATGAGTGAATCATTAATGGAACCTCAGCCCTCCTGAGAGCTGTCCTGTTCCTCTTGGGAGGAAGTCCTGCTTTTAGCTTCAGTGTGATTCCTCAGTCCTTCCTCAGGCCTCCTCTGTGCCTGCTTGTGCTGGGTGACGGGGCTGCAGCTCTTCCCTGCTGCAGAGACACCCTCAATCTCATGAGGGCCTGGCTCCCAGGCAGAGTGCCGAGTGGGGGGGGGGCACTGGGCTCTCCGTGGTCCCCCTCATCACTTCCAGAGCTTTAGAAGCCAGAGAGCCAGGATGCCGGCCCTGCCTTCCCTCTGGGACATGGCTGGGTGGCTCACTTACCCTCTGGGAATCTCACTCCCCCATATGGAAAACCGGATCGGAAATCTCAAACTCTCAAGAACGTGAGGGTTTGAGCGAACGTGCGTGGAAAGTGCTTTGTAAACTAACTTGTGACACTCCAGTTCATCCTTGTCGTTCGTCCTGTGTGACACACGCAAGCAGGCTCCCAACACTGCGGAGAGTGGCAGCCTCCGCTCTGATGAATCCAGGAAGGCTTTGCCGTGATGGGGACTTGGGGTGTGGGCCTTTTGGTTTGCTGCTGGAGCACTTTCTGTGTGTCGGGCTCTGTACTGCCCCTGGGTCGATCCGCCCTGGTCCCTGCCTTTGAGGGGGATGTACACAGTGCCAGGGAAGGAAGCATGGGGAGCTGTGGAGGCCTGAAGGTGAACGTGGGACAGCTCAATCATCTTGGTTGGGGTCAGGGAAGGCTTTCTGGAAGAGGCAGCATTCAATCTGGATATTGAAAGATGAATAGGTATTAGCAAGGCAGGCGAGAACATTCAGGTGCGGGGAACAGTATCAACAGAGGCACGAGATTTGGGTGGGACGGGCAGTTTGCCTGCAGGGCCCCTGAGCGATGAACGTGGGCTGAGGCCCCGGTGTGCCGAGAGGCAGAGACAAGGGAGACAGAGGATGCCATATCCAGGCCCTGGGTGGCTCACCTGTAATCATTGGCAGGGCGATGGGGATTTGAGGGCTCCTAAGAAAGGTGCACTGAGAGCTTCTTGGCCTCCACCATTTCCAGGGTCTCCCTGGGATGGAGCTGCTGTTGG